TCAGGAAAGGTGCCCGACGCTGGGGTTTCAAGAAATTTTCATTTCAATCTAGGATGCATGTTGGCACCGATTCCACGAGTAGACGCTGCTTTTTCTTGTCACACGAACCGAAGGCCAATGTATCGAAATCCCACATTTCGAGTTTTTTTTTGGGATCTTGGGACTTCAACCGCGATCCACGAATCGAGCGCTGATCTTTGGAGCAACACCTGCCAATCGCAAATCATTTTGTCGGCTACGCCCGAGATCAACATACCGAGCGTTGATCTCAGGGGGCTGCATCCAAGATCCACGTACCGAGCATTGATTTTGGGAGTTACACCCAGGATACACGTGCCGAGCATTCTCGGGGGCTGCACCCAAGCATATGCGTACCGAGCATTGGTTGTGGGAGATAAACCCGAGATGCACGTACCGAGCATTGATCTCGGGGGCTGCAGCCAAGATCCATGTACCGAGCGTTGATTTCGGGAGCTACACCCGAGCTACATGTACCTTGCAGCACCCCATGCTCGGGGCGCGTTCAGCAGGCAGTACGGTGGTCTTGTTCCACTATTAACTATTACAAGGAAACGCCGAAGTCATAACATGAGCGGTGGGCGGCAAGCCTTTCCCCCATGTAACCACGTGTTACGACTCAAAAACGGAAGTCGCAGCAAAACCGCTACTCACCATGTAACACTGGTAAATTAAGCAGCCTGAACAATCCATTCCACAAGTTCAGTGCTCATCATAAGTCACATTGCCTGCTCTTTCCCCCATGTAACTCCGCCTGACACACAACATGATCCACACACCGTGTCTTGAACTCTGTACAGAGCAGTAGGCTTGGAACCAAAAAAAAACATGCAGAATCGCGATCCACGTGCTGACGTTGATCTGGGAGCCTTTACGCCCCGACGAAACCCAAACAAGAATCCATACAACCGAAGCGCATCAGAGTCGGCTAACCATAGGTAAATCCATAGGAAGAGCCTGTCAAACCCACCCTAGCAGTGGCAGGTGTGAGACAATACAGCTAGCAGCTAGCAGTTCAAATTTGCTTTTGCCATGCCGACACCTTGTGACATCTTGTGACATATCTACACCAGCAAATATCGCACCGCCTCGCAGTATCAACTAACACATCAGATTTGGATTTGCCATGCCGAAATTGCAAAAATGTCGAAAAGAGCCGGCCGTGCCGAAATGCAAACAGGTACGAGTTCAGACTTGCTGTTCTCCCGCCGAGCATGGGGCTTATTAGGTTAGGTTGCCATGCGCCAAGGAGCTCAACCTTGCAGAGCCTAGGAATTCCATCTACGGCGGTCGATCATGAAGCGGTAGCAAGAGCAGGAGCAGGAGCAGCAGCAGTGGTCGTTGTCGTCGTAGCAGTGGTAGTAGTATCACGTGTCATTGATCCGGGTCTCTGGTATTTCAATGAAACCCTAGCGATACCCTAGGGTTCAAGTCAAGCCCATTCTGTAAACATTAAGGAGCTTTATGATCTTTGCATTGCTCACAAGCGGGAAGCATCACATCAACGTTGTAGCAGCATGTCTTGACAACTCCTGCGATCAGCGCGTTCTCCCGCGATTGTCAGTATCAGTTGGTCTTGCCCTGCAACCTGCCATTCTGCCTTGCTTCCTCTGCATTTCGTGAAATGTACGACTTTCCAAGAATCTTTTCTCCTTCTTGTTATTCTCTGATCAGGAAAATCAGGCACGACTTAAGCAACTGCCAGTAGTAGTAGTAGTAGTAGTAGTAGTAGTAGTTGCCACTAGTAGTAGTAGTAGTAGTAGTAGTAGTAGTAGTAGTAGTAGGCGCCCACCCCCCCTACCAACCACCTCTG